AGAGAGAGAGAGAGAGAGAGAGAGAGAGTGAGAGAGAGAGAGAGAGAGATTATTATAATTATACATTGTAAATATTTTATTTGAATTTTATATAAAGTTTTTATGACTTACAAAACATTGTGTTTAATAGAGAGGGCCCGGAATATAGCAGCTATGGGTCCGCACACGTACTCATCTTCCCTATAGGTTGTAAGAATTGTGGGCAATAACTCCGCAAACATAAATGTTAACACACCCGTGTAATTCGTTACCAAACTATTGTTAGTTGGTGCTTGCTCATTTACTAATATACAATCATTTATATGTATTGTATAATTCATTGTATAACTTTTTATTTATTTTAATCTATTAATAATTTATTACAAATGATGCATAAATGTTGCACAGAAATAAAATGCTGTATTATTTATATATTATTGTATTATTATTTATATATATTTATACATTTGTTTATTATAAGTTTATTATTAAAAATAAAAATTAATTAATATTGAATATCTTATATTATATTTAATTAAAATAATTGTTTACAAAACATTTCATTATTATAATTTCAAATAAAGTACAGTAATGTTGTTATTAAAAACACTGTTTTAATTATAAATAAATATGCTGCTAACTTAGGGTTTTAGTAGAAATAAAATACATTATTTAAGTTAAATGTTTTACAGTATATTCTATTTATAAGTAATTTCAAATTATTAAGATAAACTAGATGATAAACAAATGGTTTTAAATAAGATGAATATAGATAATTATAATTTAGATATTATTTATATTTATATAAAACTGTTAACATAATTATTGTGTTTTGAGAATGTGCTAATATTTTTAATTAATTATTTTTTTGTAAATCAAAGTAAACGTAAATTAATAATCTTAATATTACATTGAATTTAATTAATATTAATTTTTATTGTATATTTTTATTAAGCTTGGAGTATATCACGCAATAAACAGAAATAATTAATTAAAAATATTAATTTTCAAATAATAAATTTTTAACAGAATATTCTGTGTCACAGAATAATCAAATATCGGTAGATATGGGAGTTGTTTATAATGCATATTTTATTATTGAACAAATCACATACAAAATTAAAATAAATTTAGTTAATACAAAATATAGTATACACTTTTACATTATTTGTACATTGTATATCACTGATATAATAGCAAGTAGCATAATGTTTAGACCACCATGCACAAATAATGAAAAACAATATATAAGTTATTCAAAGTGTATTTTAAAATCAAACTCAAATTGATTGAGTTAAATTAAGCTGGGCCCAATAAATTCTAATTATTAGTGATAATTATTAGTGATAATTATTTTTGGTAATTTATGAAATATGTTTTTACTGTTAAAGTAAATGCAGTTGTAATACAGTAAAACAATGTAATGGGAATGTCATGTTTTATTGGTAATGTTAAAATTACCAAAATATACTCTAAGAATACACGCGATTATAAGGTAAAGAAGTAATTATGATGTGGTTGTTGATACCCATGTAAACATAGTTTAACCCATTGTTTAAACATTATTTGAGTCAATACATGGCTGTATCGAAGTTACGATCCAAATAATTGATTGTATTTCTGTGTCTCCGTTGAGACGATTGATATAGTCTTGAGTTTTGTGAATAAATTCTTAGCGAATAATTAGTGTTTAAATTAATAATTGGTTTAATTGTTGTCCGATTTTTATTACATATTTTTGTTGTCAATTTTATAACCAATTGTGACAAAAGGTTTGTAAACATAATAAATGAAAATCCAAACCATAGGCCCAGAAGTGATCCGATGAACACTAAGTACTCTTCAAATTGCATTTTCAATGAAATCTCGTACACCATATCAGGATCCGACCGTATTATGAAATTTATATATAATATGTCTTTCAATCTATGTATATAATCAGTTGTATAATCAAAGGTATAGTACTGTTGTGTACACTCTATTCTGTCACTACATTCACGATCGCAATAGTTATCAATATTGGGAATATTTCCGAACCGTACGGTTTGATTAACACAATCGATATCGCGATATATTATGTAACCACTCGGAAATGTAGTGTTTTGTCGCCAATATTCCCGGATTTTGCATTTATTTAAGCACTCATTTCGGGTTTTATTTACGAAACACTTTTTACCATAAATATTGTGTTTCAATATTATAGTAGTCTTTTTGTGTTTTAATTGGCAAGCATTAAAACCACGATTGTTTAGAGCTAAGTAATCGTTAGATAAATATTCACGATGTATTGTCTGCCGGGAATGTAAATACAGTTTCACCCGAATGGGAGCACTAATCGATTTATTCAAAAAAGTTAATAACATGTAATCATTTAATGAATTACTTTTGTTATATATATACAGAGTGTCCGACTCATGTGTCCACTGCGAGAGTTCAGTCCAACACATTTTAGCCCTATTATCAACATAGCCCAATCGGTACGAAATAATTGTATCGCACGGTTGTTTCAACGTGTTGAATTTATTTGAAATGTTACAATTATAAAAATGATCAGGTTGAGTTAGCGATGAAAGCATTGCATTAATTGATTGATTTTTCCACCTTGCATAATCAAATGAAAACAATTTTTTGGGATGATAATAATGTTGACGTACTTGTGTACCTAGAAGATTTACAATATCCATACACATGGTTACAGCCGGTGGGCTGAATATCGTCTCCGTTTTAAAGCTTAGGGTTGTTGTGGTTTCGTATGAGAAATATATTAAACTGATTTTATAGGTTTGGTATAGAAATCCACACAATAGTAGTGTTTTCAATATTATTTTCAATATTAAATCTTTTAGCAATAGTTTGAAAAACATTTCATTAATTTTAAAATACATTATTTTGTCTGATAAATATATAATTATAATATTGGAGACAATTTTTTATATGATGTTTTCTAAATAATATAATGTCAAATGTCTATTACTTGATTTGTACTATTTATTTTGTGTTTACGAATAAACAAAAAGTTAATTTATAATGTTTGTTTTGTATAATTAAATTTATATTAAGTAATAAAAATAAGATTATTTTTATTATTATTGTAGTGTTAATGTACATATTATTAATAAATTATGATTGTATTTATGTAAATAAATAACAGTCGATTTAATTAATAAATTTCTTAATAAAATAAATTATTATTTACCATGGCATTATAACTTTTAATATTGATTACATTTTTAATAATAAAACTAATTTCTTTTACTGTATAATTGGTAATTATTAATTGCATAAAGTAAATAAAATTCGTGAGTGTTATTTTGACTATTATTATTTTGTAAAAGTGTTAAATTAATTTGTAAATTAAGTTATTTTTGTAAAAATTATCAAAATCCTCTGATAAATGGTATAAATAATAGATAAATGAATTATATTGTGGGTCGTAAGAAGAGGTTTGGTATCCATTCCGCAAAATTTTGTTAAATAAACACTAGTGTTGGCCAAAGAGATTAAAAGGTTAAAAATTACAAAACAAAAAATAGCCAAAAGAGACATTCAATTATTTAATTCACAGCTTAAGCCATGTTTAACCGAAAGTCATCGACGGTATGGTCTGTCCGACAAATAGTCAATAGTTGCCAATAATAATAGTCAATATACAGTATATTTTGATCATAATATCTGATTATATAAAAATAATAATTTTAATTTTTTGTAAATCTTTTCACCCGCCATATATTTATTAAACGACAGCTCAATAATAAAACATAAAAAATAGTGCTCGTTACAAAGATGTTAAAAATGTTTAATTGTTGCATTTTTAAAAGCCACAAGACATTTTTATAACAAATTTATTATTAGGGCTCGTTATAACAAACAAGCTCTAATAATTAAAATAATATATAGGATAATGTGCACAATAATAATCTCGAAATTACAATAGGTTTTAAATTTAAGCTGTATATCAAATAAAACAGTTTTTGTTTTATAAATAAAATAATTAATTAAAACATAAAATGACAACAAATGCTATAATTAAGACCACATCGGGAACAGTGAGGGGTCAAGTGGTGTCGGCGCTCAACAAAACTCTATACCAATTTCAAGCCATACCATACGCTGAGCCACCGGTCGGTGCTTTACGTTTCGCAACTCCCAAACCTATCATAAAGCCAAGAGATGTTAGTTATAGTAATATTAAACAAAACAGATTATCTAACTCTTAAATAAACTATATTTTAGGGTATAATAGACGCCACAAAACCGGGAAAAAGTAGTTTACAATTGAAAATACCATATCAATCAACCGTGGTCAACCAAAGTGAGGACAGTCTTGTGCTAAATATATGGACACCAACTCTACCCACAGATAACACAACCAATCAGTCACTCAAACCGGTTATGTTTTGGATATATGGCGGCGCGTTTAGTTATGGCACAATTAATTCTTACAACGGCCGGGCATTGGCCGCACACGACGTGGTGTTTGTGGCCCCGAACTATAGGTTGGGATTGTTTGGGAACCTCTACGGGGATCGGGAGGACGCGCCCGGAAATGTGGGCCTTTATGATCAACTATTGGCCCTGAAATGGGTATTAATTGACCGCTTATTGTAGTTATAGTTTATTGTATTTATTATTAAAACAACAATAGGTTAGAGAAAACATACATTTGTTTGGCGGAGATAGGGATCAGATCACCATTTTTGGTGAGAGCGCCGGCAGTAAGTCTGTGTCGGCGCACATACTCTCCCCGCTATCAAAAGGGTTATTTAAGAGGGCTATTATGCAAAGCGGGGCAATGATGTCCTACAGGGACAGGGATTTGTTGAGCAAATCCAGGGCTCTGTCCGACGGTAAACGTCTGGCCAAAGAACTGGGTTGTAGTGAACGGAAGGATTGGATACAGTATTTACGGACAGTTGACGTCAAACGCCTGTTGGAAAAGACCAAACCGTTATACTTACCAGTGTTTGGGACACAGTTTTTACCACTTTCAGCGCAAAAAGCATTTGAAAATAAACTGTTTAATTCTGGTCTAAATTGTTATAAATTTAGAGTACAGTAAATAAAAATTAATATTTAATATTGATTTTACAGATATTGATTTAATAGCGGGCATTAACAGCATGGAGGGCTCAAATTTGGCCAGGTGGTTTGTAATACCGGACAAACCGGTATTTACTTTGGATGACTTTGTGTCGGGAGTAAAAGTGTCAGAAGCCATAACACACGGCGTGGATGTGAATAAAGCGATAGACTATTACCTGAAAGGTGTGGACACGAGTAGTACACCGGCTCTGAAGCGAGCGTTTTATCAATATTTTGGCGATTTATTNTTACTTTGGATGACTTTGTGTCGGGAGTAAAAGTGTCAGAAGCCATAACACACGGCGTGGATGTGAATAAAGCGATAGACTATTACCTGAAAGGTGTGGACACGAGTAGTACACCGGCTCTGAAGCGAGCGTTTTATCAATATTTTGGCGATTTATTTATGAAATACCCGACATATGAGTTCACCCGACAAATGGCCACAACTGTTGGCAATCGGCATAACATATACTTCTATGAACTCTCATATCAGAGCCAATACTTAGCCAGAAAACTCGGGTGCGATGACAAGGATGCGAGTGTCGGACACGCGATGATTATACCGTTTGTCTTCGGGAAACCTATTGTTGGACATAATGTCGACAAATACAATGAAACCGATCGTCAGTTCAGTCGTGATGTAATGCGGATGTGGACTAACTTTGCGAAATACGGGTAAATGTTTTGTTTGATTAAATAATTAAATATAAAAATCCATGTTTTTTTCATTTGATAGCAAACCGGACGACAAATGGCCGCAACTGTTGAGTGATCCGAATGTACCGAAAGTGAAGGATTTAAACCCCGACCCAAACCGACCCCCACTTCACGACCCGTACGCTAAACACTATAACAACTTTTGGCGATCATATTTTACATAATATATATAATTCATATAATAAAATTTATAATATAAATAAATAAATTCATCTATATAATTACAAATAAATGAATAAGTAAACCTAAAATCGTTAATATTGATATCATTTTGAAAGTCAAGCCTTTACTTATAAGTTTTATATACCATAAATCATTTACTAACAGTTTTACCCTAATGTTTGACCGATGTCTCTCTGACTTGTGAGCTCTGAACTAATGGGGAGAATTGGATAGATAAAACCTATTTTGTGTAATTTAATTCCAAGCCCGATTGGTCTCGATTGGTTGAATAAATTGTTTAATTTAATTAACCATTTAACTTTTATTATTAACCGAATTTTTAAAAATATATTTAAAAGTAAATGACATTATGTTTGTCACTAGTATCCACAAGTGCATAGGAATCTTAACGCTTAATTTGCATTCTCACTGTTTGAAAATGAGCCTGCACAAATGACTGCTCACTATCCGGCTTGTTCCTAACTAATAAATAATAAGTAATATTACATTTAATAATAAGTCATCATGATTCATGTATTATTATTATAATTAAAGGTAATGATATTACCGTACATTAGCAATTAAATAATTATTTTTAATTATCTTTTTATGTGTATAAATGATTATAAATAGTTTAATAAAACAAATATAAAGTTTATAATACTGTACCAATCAATTGTAATTTATTGTAACATTAAATTAATTAACAAAGACAAATATAGGTTAGGCCATTTATAATATAATTATTATATTTTGATGTTTTCAAAAATACCACAGTTTTAGCTAAATTACAAAAATGACAACAAGTATTGAAGTGAAGACCACATCGGGAAGAGTGAGGGGTCGAGTGGTTGTGGCGCTCAACACAACTCTATACCAATTTCAAGGCATACCATACGCTGAGCCACCCATCGGTGCGCTCAGGTTTGCTAAACCCGAACCCATGAAAAAGGCCAGAGATGTTAGTTATTATATAATTTATCAAAAAATAAACCATGGTTTATTAATTATTTATAAATTATAAATTTAGGATATAATAGACGCCACAAAACCGGGAAACAGTTGTATGCAAAAGGAAATGGGTTTCATTCCGTTTCCCATCACTCAGAGTGAGGACAGTCTTGTGCTAAACATATGGACACCAACTCTACCCACAGATAACACAACCAATCAGTCACTCAAACCGGTTATGTTTTATATATACGGCGGCGGACTTACGATTGGGACCATTGATAAATACAACGGCGGACCACTGGCCGCACACGACGTGGTGTTTGTGGCCCCGAACTATAGGTTGGGTTACTTTGGTTTTCTATACGGGGATCGGGAGGACGCGCCCGGAAATGTGGGACTTTATGATCAGTTATTAGCACTTAAATGGGTATTGAATTGATTTCTTGTTTTACATATAAATGATGATTAACAATACAAGTACTGTATTTAGTAATAAAATATTATTAAATTTGATTTTATCGCATAATAATAGGTTAGAGAAAACATTCATTTGTTTGGTGGAGATAAAGATCAGATCACCATTTTTGGTGAGAGCGCCGGCAGTTGGTCCGTATCGGCGCACATACTCTCCCCGCTATCAAAGGGTCTGTTCAAAAGGGCTATTATGTCGAGCGGCGCTCATATGTATAATAAGGACAGGGATGTGATCAGTAAAGATGAAGCCATAGCAGAAGGAAAACGTATTGCCAAAGAGTTGGGTTGGAGTGAAGACATGCATTGGATTCAGTATTTACGGACAGTTGAGGCCAAGGTTTTGGTGGATAAGTCCCAAAAAATAACATTCCCGGTGTTGGGCACAGAATATTTACCATTTTCCGCTCAAAATGCTTTCCACAAAAATGAGTTTTATTATGGTTTTAATTTTTGAAAATTATTATACATGTATTTTTAATCTAAATAACAAAACTTATTAATAATTATTATTTAATTTAGACATCGATCTAATGGCGGGCATTACCAGCACTGAGGGCTCAGTTCTATCCAAGCTATATATAGCACCGAATAGAGAGGTTTACACTTTGGATGACTTCTTGTCAGGGGTTAAGGCATCGGACGACATGTTTCACGGCATAGATGTGCAGAAATTGACGGCATATTATTTGAAAGGTGTGGACACGAGTAGTACACCGGCTATGAAGCGAGCGTTTTATGAATTTTACGGCGATTTATTCATAAAATACCCGACATATCTATTCGCCCGACAAATGGCCGCAACTGTTGGCAATCGGCATAACATATACTTCTATGAACTCTCATATCAAAGTCAGTTCTTTGCCAAACACTTTCAATGCGATGACAAGGACTCGGCGGTCGGACACGGAATGGACTTACCGTTTGTCTTTGGTATACCTCTCTTGACAAAAATGGTCGATTCTTTTGATGAAACCGATCGTACCTTCAGTCGAGATGTGATGCGGATGTGGACTAACTTTGCGAAATATGGGTAAATATTTTGTTTGAGTAAACACTTAAAATTAATGTCAATGTTTTGTTTTATTTAAATTAATTTTGAATTTTATATGTATTTTTATTTGATAGCAAACCGGACGACAAATGGCCGCAACTGTTGAGTGATCCGAATGTACCGAAAGTGAAGGATTTAAACCCCGACCCAAACCGACCCCCACTTCACGACCCGTACGGGCATTGCTATGAAAATATTTGGCATGATTATTTTATAAAATAACCATAAACCTGAATAAAAAAGACATTTTATTGCCACATGTGCTCAGGATTAATTACACAATATTGTTATTTAACAAACTATTATTTTTAATAAGGTTAATTATTCTTGTATTTATGCAATATTTTGTAATTTAAATCAAATATTGATTTTTAAAAAATTTATGTAAATTTTGGTTAAAGTTTATTTTTGTTTAAAATACTACTTAAATCATAAAAAATTTTAACAATTATTTTAGCAATATATAATTATAATAAAAATGAGCACAATAATAATATAATGTAACAATATTACCGCATTATCAATTGCACATTAACAAATTTACAATTAGTAAATTATCACGCTTAAATTAATGTACATAAACTCAAGTAAAAATATTAAAGTCGATATAAATAAGCCGATAAGCAGGGTAAAAATCAGTCCCTCTATGTGTCTGAAATCGAGATTCTCGTAAACACTTGTGTGGACATCAATGTTGGGATCAAACAGTCTTAAGTGAGCCATTGTTTTGAACGCATCGTCTCTCCAGTGCCTGAATAGACCCGACTCTCGGCTTTGGACTATACTGTGAATTAAACTTAAACTTTGTAATGAAAATGTAAATCATAAATGTTACATTTGATAATTTTATAACAAAATAAGCTAGGACCACGATCATTGTATTAAAATTATTTTATACTAACAGAGTATTTAAGCCATTAATTAACGTTGAATTCATACGTTTATTAATAATCAGAAAGTAAGGGGTTTGTCCGCCCCCTTTCCGGGACACATACATCTGCCGCAAAATATGAGGTTTGTATCTAAAATGAATGTTAATTATATTGCGAAACATATCGCCACTCATTACATAAGCATAATGATCTAGGTCGTATTTGGTGAACGTGTGATTGATATAATCATCACTCAATTGGGCGTCAATTGTAGTGATTCTTGAATTGAAATTTAGGGCCATTTTTGTAGTTTCCGTTTCAGAAAATTTAACAATTATATTGGCCGGAGTGGTGGCGATCCTCAGGTGCGACCACTTCTGCAGGTCTTCCCACGAGTCGATGTACTCGTAATCCATGGGTTTCATTATATTATCCAATAGATAACTATTAAACAATATGGTCAAAAACATTGCCAACAAAAGCCAAAATATTATCATTTGATTAAACATTAGATTCATTGAGTGAAGAGATTTGGGAATTGAATTTGAAAACAAAACCATAAATAAATTGATAAAATTAATGACAATTCTTGAAGGTTTTGCTTCAATTGTGGTCACAATTACTGATAATAAACTTATAAAACATATGATTATAATTATAACATTTATATGAAAGCAATCAAAGAAAGTGAAATTTGGTTTAATTATGGGAACCACTTTAGAAATGACCACATCGTAATTCCTAATATCTATTTCTCGGCTTAAAATGCAATTTTCAGCCACAGAGGTCAAGAAATCAACAATCAGGTCAAATGATTTTGGTTGTATTTCATAAAACAAGACATCGGGCAGTGGTTTGTTCATTACATCCATCATGTTTGTCGTGTGTCCGTAATGGCCATACGATTGAAGGCTTAACAATAGGATCATTATATGAATTAATTACCAGCATAATTAAGTTACTAAAATTTGATACAATATAATACATTTATAAGAACATGGGTATCAATTTCTTGTCATATTAATATAATTAATATCATTTTATATTTGTATAAATGTTTTATTTAACTTACAAAACATTGTACTTTACTGACAGTGCCTTAAATAAGGCTGCTATGGGTCCGCACACATACTCGTTGTCCAAATAGTTTGTACGAATAACGGGCAATAAATCAACCACAATAAATGCTACTATACTTGTATAGTTTGATGTTGAATCATTATTTCCTATAGGTGCTTGATTATTTATTAAAATACAATCATTTATGTTCAACGAATAATTCATTTTGTCTGTTTGTATCATACAAATAGAATATGAGGCAAACAATAGATACCCAGAATTCAAATGCTATTTATTAATAAAAATTATTTATTATATAATTAAAAATTTAGTAACTTTCTGTTATTAAAAATATTATGATTAAAACGTTGATAATAATATCTGAAATTAAATAATAAAAGTTATTTCATAGCATATTTTTATTTTCTGTGTTAGTATTAAGCTATAATTTACACAATAATAATTTAATTAATTTTAAGTAAAACAAAACATGTTTTTAATAATAATGAAATTAATTGGAAAAAATGTTATAATTAAAATATTATCTATACTAATGTTATTGTTACTAATATTACTAACACAATTAACACTATATTTAGAGTATTAATACATAAATATTTATATAAATTTAGATTTGATTTTTGAATAGATATTCAATAAATGAAAAAATAATTTTATTATATTTCGTCGCAAACAATGCCATAATATGTGATAAATTGTCACTAAATAAATAAAGTTATTAACATATTTTCAATACAATTACATTATATAACTCACCGATTATTTCATATTTAATTATCAATTCAATGATAAATACAATAATTGCAAACAACAGTATGAATAAACAGGAGTAGATAATATCTGCGATGTAAAACACTGTAATCTCCACGTATTTCACCATGCGCGTATCCAAATCACCGGCCAATAGCTCAGTATTGCCCACATATCTCATGAGTCGGGTCTTCCAGTTCTCGTATAGACCAGATTCTCTGGACCGCAAAATACTACCATGATCAAACAAATTAAATTAACAAACAGCAAACAAATAATTATGATAGTGACAATACAAATTAATTAACATACATTTTATTCAACAAACGATGTATGTTATGATCCATTCTACTGGAAAAGGCCATAAAATAGGGCTGTTGTCCGCCGCCAGCGCTGGATATATAAAACTGTTTCAACAATTTGTTGCTATCGTTAGACAAGAGAAACAGATTCATAATTAGCGTCAATCTGTCGGTTACATAAGCGGATTGTCCACTCAATAGACGCTCAAAGTTGTCTTTCCGGTACGAGTCGGTGGTCTCGGGCTTACGGGTACTCAGTCTCGACCTGAAGTTCAGTGCCATCGCTGTGTTTACCTCTTTTGCATATCTGGCCAATGGATTAGTTTCGGCCACAAGTATTTGCACCTCAGGCCTGCCCTCCAAGTCCTCCCACGAGTTGATCACTAAATCGGGCACCGGTTCTACCATATAATCCAATAATAATGTGCAAAATATGGTCAGTATTAGAACTTCGAGTAGGAGCCAGAAAGTGATCAGGATTTTAACTAGCGGATTGTTTGTGTTGATCGCTTTGGGCGTTGATTTTGAGAAATACAATAGCAGAATATGGTAAACATTAAAGAGAATTTGGCGCAAATCCCGGTTAATCGCTGTTATGAGTGTCGATACAATTAACAACAGTATTGTTAATAAAATCCAAACATTTGGTTTAAAGCATTGAAAATAGGTTAATACGGGTTGAGTGCCTCTCATTATCCTATAGGCAATACTTCCATAATCGCTGAAATCAATGGCAATTGTATGCAAAACAGTGATATTGAATGCAACTAACTCTTGATTATAGTAAACTAAGTTATAAGCGTTTGCGTCCATTAAACATAGATCGGGCATTTTTCCCTCCATTATGTGTAAAAAATCATCCAGGCTAAAGGGAATTCCAGGTATTTTAATCCTATTTATAAGAAAACAAAATTGTAAGTTAATTAATATCAACATTAATTCAAATAAAACGTATATATACAATTATATATAGTTATATAAACTTTACAATACATGATGTTTTCTCTGATGTTTAACTCCTTTAATAACATTACTAATGGACCGCAAATGAAACCTTTGTACAAAATGTTGGGCATTGTTATTATGGGCACAATTGAGATGCAATGAGAGCTGGAATTGTCCGGACATTGAGTATTGTTTCCAATATAATCGGAAACCTGTAGGCAATCCTTTGCTGTCATTTTTGTTAACTTTAATTTACAGAAATGTACAGTATTATTGAATAATTAACTATTAATTTGTAACGAAACAAATATTTTTGATATATTGAATATAGAATATATTTCAATTCAATTTTAATTTATTTAATCAAAAGTGGTAAAGATTGAAATTGTGAATAATGCAGAAACAGTCCAAGTAAAATATATTAATATAATAAATTCACAGATAGTAATTAAATCAATATTAATAAGACATTCTGTATTAATAATAAGATAATTATTATAATAGAATATTAATATTTTATTGCATAATATTTTATATTGATCAGCTAACAAATGTTATATTTACATATATGATAACTAGAGTATATATTTTTATTCAAATAAATATTTTCCACTGAAAACTCTTTATGTACAAAACTGTGGGCAAACAAATCACATAATTAGAAATGCACTTTAGTCGAGAAAATTTAAAAACAAAATCTTTTGTTATATGAATGCAATAAATAAGGCGGTTTGTAATAAACTTAATTTATTTTTATTTTTAAAAACAATTAATAAAAGTTACAATTTAGTGAAATCACACGAATAGTGTGCAAGTCTTAGAATATACACAATATTTTAATGACTGTGTTTATGTGTTATGCCTTAAATAGTGCAATAATTGGATCATTTGAAGTCCTATTTATTTTAAAAATAGGTGTCAAATATTGTGATATTTTCGTATGTGGTAATATTTTTAATAAACAGTTAATTAATTATAATATTTTGTTAATTGAACTCAAAAATATTAATATTTGTTAAACAATTTAATTATTTATTTAATTATTAACATGTACATTTATGTGATTTATTTGAGGGAATTAACTGGTCACTCCAGAAAAAGAGAACGCGTTCTTTTTTTGGCCACCACTACTAAACTAATTTTTGGCCAATACTTTATAATACATGTCCAACAAATACGCATAATTTACAATGATTGATTTCGCTTTGTTATCATCTATAGGCTTAGCTGGGCCTAGCTCGCATTTCTCAGCCCTACTAACCTTGGTCACTTTTTCAGCAATATCAGCTACAAATTTGTAACTACTCTGTTGGGTTTTCACAAATTTTTTCACATCTTCATTATCAAACAAATTGGATATTGTATCGACGCATAAATAGATCAAGCTAGTTTATAATAAATGAAATATATAATAATTATATATTATACAAATGTAGATAATATAAACTTTTTAATTTTGTCAATATCAACATTTCAATCTAACATTACCATAGTACTTTACCAAGCTCATTTGTACGGCCACCATCAGTCACGTCGATCATCTCGGTAATCAAGCTGCGTTTAATATTGTACGCCTCCTCGCGCTTATCATTAATCGCTTTGGCGTACGTCAGCTGTTTGTCTTTAGGGAGGCGGCAAAACGATGATGATGATTCAAGATTAGTAAAGTTCACTCCTTGCACAAGCACCCGCATGACGGGCTCTTTTAATTTTTGAATCCACGCCCCAATTTTTGCTACCTTGCTAGTCCTATTAATTAATTATTTTAGAAATGGGCAAATTAATTTTGTTTAATTATAGTAAATTTAATTTGATAACCTTTATTATAAAACGTAGCAATGTATTTGTATTTTATGTAACTACTTAACTACTGAAATGTTTGTTGCTTATAAAACATAAGATATGATACATTTGTATTTGTGACTTACATTGGGCCAATAGGGCCATCGGTTCTCGATTTGCAGTACGCGGTAATAGCGTCGGCCGTATCGGGTAGGGCCTCATTAACGGCAATGACCTCGCTATCAATAAGAATATTATCGCTATCCTGGTCAACTTTGCTAATGCACCTTGAATAAACTTTGTTAGAAATGGGTAAGGCTAACACTTGTGTTTTTATTAGATATTGTAGTATTAATCATCGATATATTTCTCATTAAAAGCAAACACTATAAATGAAGTGAACTATTGATAAATCTGTCATTTACACTTTAATATGTAGTAAGTTGCAACAAAGGAGCAACTGTTTGTTAGCCTTAGAAATGGGTTAGATATTATTAATAAGCATGCGCCAATCATTTTGGATTTTAATAGTTATTTATGATAATGAGTATA